ATCTTCAAAGAGTCAGAGCCAGGAAGGAAAACCCTGTAGAATATTTGCCTTGGTGTGGGCTATTGACGTGGAGATAAAGAGCATGCCTGAAGCCTTGCGTACTGTGTATTCTCCACTTGAAGCTTGACAATATTAAAAATTATTACATAGCGATGAACCATAGAACAGCCTAACTTTGCTTCTTCTGAGTCTTTTCTTAGCTTACCAAAGGCCTCTGAATCCAGTTCAGCACATGTATCCAGGGCTATACTTGAATGTCCTCTATCCAAGAAGACAAATTCATAAGCCCATCCTCCCCTTGTATTTCATTGCTTGAATATTCAAAACAGGGCTTTCACAATGAATTACGTTCTTGGTCCTTTTTATTTATTTATTTTTTTGTATTTATTTTTTGAGACAGGATCACACCAAGTCATAAAGTTAACTAGGATAGACTTGAACTTGGAACCCATCTGCCTCAGTCTCCCAGTGCTGGGAATACAGGCAAGTGCCACCATATCTGGCTTAAATTGAATTGCTTATTGTAAATAGCAGACAGGGTTCATGTACGTTTGAGGCCAAGGGTGAAAGAACAAAGAGAGACTCACCATAAGTAAACGTCTAACAATTATAAATCAAGTGAAACACACTGTCAAATATAACGTATTCTATTGTCTTTCAGGAAAATACAGTTTTACATTGATGTTTAGACCACATTCTTATGAATGATTCTACTTAATAATTCTCAAACATCTAGCAGTTCCACAGAAGAAACTCATCATCCAGCTGTGACCTGCAGCACAGCCAGCTCCCATCCCTTCCCACCTTCAGCTCCTCCTAGGGGAATCTTCTGCTTGGCCTCCATGTGAGGGCACTCCAGCCAGGGCTTTCAGACTCCCCACAATCCCAGTAACCAAAGATGTTCTGGCCACTCCATAGAACTCAGAATGGATGCACTTAAGTGTCAGGAGACCACAGTTGTTCTTGGGGAGAAGCACATGAAGTCTTTGGTATTGGCTCAGATCTGTGCAGTCAGAAAGTCTGTACTTTGAGTACTTGCTTTGTGATGAAGAAGGAGTGAAATTATAGCTCATGGGGGTACACTGTCCCTTAGAGCCATGGACTCCTCATCATAAATTGAGAGGCACAGAGGAATACAGCGAGGCTCCCTAAATTGTATTTTTTATTATTTTCTAAATTTTAAATTCTATTTTTATTGGTACATTTTAGGTATACAATATAATGACATTCATCATTGAAAATTTGCACCTTTACATAATCTCTCTTGGTTCTTATTTTTCCCCCTTCCCCTGACCTTCCCTCAACCCCTCCATCTCTCCCTATTTACAAAGACTTTGTTTCCATTTTTTCATTTTCTCATTAATTCCATTCCCTTCTATCCTTTCCCCTACCCCTCTCACTTCCCTTCCCCCTTTACCCCTTTTCTTCCTATTTCACATTATCTATTATACCTTTTAGTCCTCATTTACACTTTCAGTTTCTCACACTAGAGAAACTATTCAGTATTTACACGTGTGTCCTGTTTATTTCACTTGAGTGTCGCCTCAACGTGCATCCATTGAGCTATATAAATGTCTCTAATTTCTCATTTTTGATGGCTGAGTAGTACTCCCTTTTATAAAAAACCACCTTTTCTTTATCCAGTCTCCAGTTGATGGGCATTTGGGCTGCTTCCAAGTTTTAGCTATTACAAATTGTGCTGCTTTGAACATGGGTGCGCATATATCACTGTGGTATGATTCTTTTAATTCTTTGGGGAAGATACCCAGCAGGGGAATAGCTGGGTCAAATGGGACTTCCAGTCCTAGTTCTTTGATGTATCTCCATACTGATTTCCACAGTGGTTGAACCAGTCTACACTCCCACTAGCAGTGGAGCAGTGTTTCTCTTTCCGCACAGCCCCACCAGCATTTGTTATTGGTTAATTTCATGATAGCAGCCGGGTACCAAGAAAAAAAAAAACAACAACTTGGTGTTCTGAAAATGTTTTTATCATGTGGAAGTCCATGTTCTTCTAGAATAATTGAGTAAATTTAAAGTCACACATTTAACCTTGTTTCACTTAAGCTTAGCTCTTCTTTTCATTTTTTTTCCAAATGTTGAGAATAATTATGGAACTTTTTCACGAGAAACAAGGTTTATTTAAGAGTATGTTTTTCTGAGACTATTTTTGTGAACTATTTTATCAACAGAGTTCTCAAGTCACTGACATAAAAACTCCTCTGTTGGCTAATAACCTACTCTGAGTGTGCAATTTAAGTGATTTTACTGCCCTAAACAAAGGGTGATCTTATTTACTAGAATTACAAATCACTTTCAGATAGTTCTGTTAGTATCTAACAATAGTTTTGCATTTATCTCCAATCAACCTCTTTATAATTTACACGCTGATGCTATAGTTATCTTATATTGAGAAGCTTCAATACATAGGCACATCATCAAATAATTTTTCCTTCTGTTTAAATATACTTTAAAAAATTCTTAATAAAACTGTTAGACTTTATAATCTTGTGAAAATTTATTATTCAATGGTATTGTTATACCTCAAATGATTATGTCATAGAGGATAACTTTGAAAAGAAATTTTATAATATTATATGTTTAGTAGTATTTATTTAAATATGATGAACATAATAAGATATGATTTTATATTTTATTAAGAATGGTCAGGGAAAAAATGCTATACTATAATATCAGTAATTTATTGAATCATCCTGAGGATATGAATTGAAATTATATTTATTTATCTTTATATTCAAAATAAATATACACAACATATTATATTTTAGTTTCACATGGAAGCTGTTATTAGATTTTCCGTGTCCATCCAAAACTCATATACAAAGTTTCATCCCCAGTACAGTAGTGTTCACAGGTGGGGCCTTGGCAACTGATAGGATGAGGAAGGCTCTAATCTCATCAATGGATAAGTCCATCCATGGATTCATATCTCAGTGGGCTGTTGTAAGCTGGTGGAAACATTAGATGGTGGAACCAATTTGGAGGAAGTTAGGTCATTAGAGGTGTGGCCTTGAAAGCATATTTCTTTCCTCCATCTTCTTGTTTCCAGCCACCATGTGATCGGCAGCTTTGTTCCATTACATGCTTCCTGCCATGACCTTCAGCTTCACCAGGCATTAAGCATTAGGGCCCGAGGGACCATGAGCTCAAACTTCTTTTTTTTTTTCCATTAATTTTATTGGTACATTTTAGGTATACAGTACAGTTACATTCATCATTGGGCTCTTGTACCTTTCCTTGATCTATCTTAGTTTTTGTTTTTTTCCTATTTCCCTGCCCTCCCTTCACCCCCTCCACCATCCCCTATTTACAAAGACTTTATTTCCATTTTTTTCCTTTTCTCATATTGTTTTCCCTTCTTTCCTTTGCCCTACCCTTCCCACTCACCCTACTCCTTCAAACTTCTGAAACTGACTCAACACAAATCACTCATCCTTTGAACTGATTTGTCATTCATGTATTTTCCCACAAAGACAGAAAGCTTACTTAAACAGAAGGCATGTGCGTGATATTCTAAACAAAAATGATGAATATTCTAAAGCACTTGCAAATCCCTCTGAAATTCTGGAAAACTGAAAAAAATGAATATCAATAATCACAACGATTTAAAATTCTTTAGTTATACTAAGACTGAGTGAGTTAGCAGAGGCACAGAATTTATCTTCTACATTGGTTGAAATAACTTCATCAAATACTGTAGGAATACTGTAGTCAGGTACTACTAATGATATAATTTAAATCACACACAAAAAAGAAAATCTCATGTTGATTTCCTGAATTGAATTAGGATTGTCAATGCATGATACTACAGAACTTGGTAGTATGTTAACTGAAATAATAGCAGTTTATTCAGCTGAAGGAGAGAGAAATAACTTTTATTCATTCTATCTCACATGTAGCTTATTATGTCTGTCTATAAAACTGTATTTTATTTTTATCACAGTTTAGGATTTTTGTAAAATCCATAAAGGATAAAATGCTGAATTCTTAAGAGAAAACCTGTTCATTTCTCTACCACCAAAATTAAAAAGACTATCTCTGGAAATTACTGTAGTTTTTTTTTTCTTTTTTTATTTTCTTTGCATTTATTCTTGAAGGGAGAAAAATTAGGAGCCCTTCCATTTGTTTTAACCACATATGTAAGGATGTGCTTAATTTCTTTTCTGGAAAGAAGTTTAATGCTATTTACTTTGTCATCCAGCCACTTGCTTCTTAATCTCTAGGTTATGTAAATATATAAGTAGTTTTCATCTAATTCTGGAGCTACCAATAATTTATATTACTCCTCTTATGCTGGAAATAAGTGGTTTAAAAGAGAAAAAGTACTTTGATACTGGCCAGATGGACTTCAATTTCCTTTCCCTGTGTCTAAGCCTCACCTGAAAGGAGAATTATTCCAGTCTAAAAAGTAGTAAAAGTTCCATGACACTAGATTTACAAGTATGCACTCTGTCATTAACAGCAGTGTTGTTGGAATTTCCTGCACAAAGCAAGTTCTTAGACAAATGAAAGATTATCAAAGCTTTTGCAGTGATGAAAAATAGATTACTCACCAATTGTACATAAAATTACTTAATATACTTAATCATTCAAGTGTTGTCCTTGCTCTTATACTAGTCCTAAATATATATATGTAAACATATACTTTTAATGTATTAATTACATATACAAATAAATTACATTATAAGTAATTGAATTATTTTTTGTAATTGAATTATTTTAAAAGAAAATTAAGAGTAATAAATGAAATATTTAAATATGTATATGTACAAATATATGTAGTACATGTATGTACACATACATATTTTAAGAGCACAAAATTAAGAGTAATAAATGAGAAGACAAATCATCATGTACCTTTCACCAAAATATCAACAAATATTAGTAATGTCAATTTCATGGGTTTTATATTTCATACTCCTGTCAAATGATATACAGAGTAAACAGTTCTGTGTAAGTGCATGCCACATATGTAATACCTTTTCATGGACTTTCTGGCCAGGTTCCATCCCTTCAAGATGTTCAGACTCTGTGGATCCCTCACTTGATACCATTTTTCTTTGTATATGAACATTTTGCTCACGCAAGGCAATAATCTGCAAAATAAAAGCATTATTCTTTTAAGACTTAAGTAAAAAATTGAATCTTGTTGATAACTCATGAATGCTAACAATTGAAGAAAGAAAACATTAAATTGTACTCACTTCAAAAAATTATTTTAAAAAATTAAGTCAATATTTTGAATAATACTATTAAGAATTCATAACACTTCACCTAAAAAAAAGATGAAAGCACTGGTAAATTTACCTAAGCAATATTTTCTATTTGGAAAATGTATCTATTTGGAAATGTATCCAAAGCAATGATCTGATTTATTTGCTGTTAATTCAAAAATTAGTTTTTAATTTATAAAATGTTATAAAATTCTTACTGTATGTATTTTAAAGTATACAAGGGAAGTAAATGAAAACATTAAAGTTTGAGGACTAATTATAATGACAATTATGTACCTTATAGTGATAATGCATCTGCAGTTTTAAAACAAGTAAATACATAAATTGAACCATTGAATAATTTTATAACACTATCATGAGCATGTAGAATTAAATTTATCTCATGGTCAGTATTCCAGTGTCAATTAATCTAGCATTTCTCATCCAAACTTACTTAATTTTCCAAAGAAATTTAAAAAGCAATTAATTCTTACAAAATTTCAGCTCAATTTTAGGCATGATTATTTCAATTAAGAAAAAGTTTCTTAAGTAATTGTAGTACACATGATATTAGTAATATACAGTAATACTCAGTAAATAGTATTCTCCCCTTTTCAAAATGGTGTTGTGAAATACATTTACTTTTATATACATAATTTTGAAAATATTTTGCATTGTATTAATGCTGTAATTTATTTCATGGCAAGTAGATTATATTATCCATCTGGATAACAGTGTTACGTATAGAAGAAATTAATTTCTGGTTTATTTAATATGCAATAAACATTGAATCAAATAAAAGTACAAACTTTAAAATTATGAGGCCAATGTATGAAAAATATCAATAATCATTAAAAAATTAAAATAGACACCAAGAGGGTAGATATTTGTTGTGCTGTCTTTCAGTGTTTTAGTGCCTCATCTACCAAGCTGTGTCTATGTGATCCGGTGATCTTGCATTTGACCTCTGGTGTTTGAACATATGGCAGGTTTTATAAAGGCAGATCAACTCATAACCAAGAACAACTATGTAAATATTCTTCTTTCTCTTATAGAACTACAATCACCAAATAACTGGCTACTACACTCTTAATCTTACCTATGTACAACACATTATGCACGAAGTAGCCAGATTGGACTTCCTAATGTGTTACATCCTGTTACTGCTTATCTTTCTTAAAAAAGATACATTTTCCAACTTAGCATAAATTTAAATTTCTTACAAGGTTTAAATATTCTACATGACCCTTTTGATTCATGAAGTCTTCCTGTTCATTCCTGAAATATCTAGGTCCATCTTACCCTGAAATGAGGAATTTTAATTGTCTGTTTACCTTTTATTCCCAGTTATTGCAGCTGACAACTGACTATATCCTAGCTTTCAAAACTCAGCTGAAATACTTCTACTCAGAGAGCCATGTACATTTGCTTCAAACACTTTTAATAATATAACCTTGTTTTTTTGTGTGTTTGATTTATTAAAATTGAATATTATATTTTTTTATTTTCTTACTTTGCTTGTTTATTTAGATAACAGAAGTCCTTATAATATCTCATGAGAAAATATTTTTGAAAGAACACTTTATTGAAAGTAACACTTTCATATGAAGCAGCACATCAAATTATATGCAGGGTATGCAGTATAAATGTGTTGAACTAAATAATGAATGGACATAAAAACTAAAGAATGTAAACTCAATTAATTCAGGAATAGCAAAAGTTAAAAATTTGGAGTGCATGAGCAACTTCAGAGACATTCCTTTCATATTAGTTAACACAGAAATGTGTTATATTAAGGGAATGACAGGAAGAATGGAATAGCTAATAGAAAAATCACTTTAATATGACATTCTCAACATATTACATCTGTATAATGTAATGTTACCATTGATAGATAATGGAATTTCTTTTATTAATTTTTAAAAACTAAGGTACTATATGATCACATTCCACTAATACAGCATCAATGACATTAATGATAGGGTAAGACAAAATTACTAGGACATTAAATTTTTTCTATGCATTTTCTTATTTAATATACTTAGAAGTGAAACAAGACAATTTCAAAAAATTATTCAAATGTCAAATTTTACTCTCAGCTTATGGATTAATTTTCATTTGTGTGGCAAGTCAGATGAACTTTAAATATGTTCCAAAATAAAACGGACTATCTGTAAAGTTTTACTGAATGAAACACTGAAAGGATGAATTAATGCCCTTTAATGAAAACATTAAAACACCAAACTTATTAAAAGAAACACCTTGCACAAATATGATTGTGCCCTTATTTTAAAAAATTATAAATTTCGTGTTTCTAATACAGTATGTAGATAACAATTAATTCCAGAAAAGATAATTTTAACCAGTAGCACGCAAACTTTTTTAATAAATCAAAGGGGGAAAAATAGGCTTTTGGAATAGCAGTATAATGTACAATATATATGTTACTCCATACATATGTTACACATAACAACACTAGAAACCTGTTCTTGAAGCCATTTTGGAAAATTTTCCCACCCACCAAATTCCCAGAAGTCCAGGACCTTGTGAACAGAGTCCATAAACTTTGTCCACTTGGTGCTAACTGTACAGGTGCATAGCTGTGGAGAAAGGGATTCCTCCAGCTAGATTTCAAAGGATGTGCCCAAGCAAACCTGGACTCATGCAGAAACCCTGCAGGAATGGGTGTACCATGGAGATTTCTCATTAGGGCAATGCTGAGTAGAGCCACTGGGTTAGGGATGTCCGTGAGTCCCCAGAATTTGACAACCAACAGGACTTAGTTGCTTGCCTTGGAGTTGCAACTCATGCGAGCTGTGGCATGGGTTGTATCCAGCAAAGACAAGGGGGTGGATCTTCTTGGAACTTTGTTGACACAACCTCTACCAGTAGGTTTTCAGAAGGGAGGATATAGAATCAGAGATTATTCTCCATCCTGAAGATTTAATGTCTTTTGCCCTGTTAGCTTTTGGACTTAATTGGGATCTGCTACTCCTCTGTTCTTTCCTATTTTGTCCTTTGGAATGCGAATGTATATCCTATGGCTGTAGCACTATTGTATTTTGGAAACACATAACTTGTTTGATTTCATAGACACACAGATAGAGGGAGAATTTGTCTCAGAATGAATCCCACATTTGAATGTCATTCACATATGATTTACATGATATTTATATGAGACTTCCAACTTAAGCTATAAAGTTAATGCAAGAATGAATTAAGACGTAATGCATAAATTGTAGAAGGTTATGGTGGAATGCTATGGTTTAAATGGGTGTGTCCCTCCAAAACTCTTATGTTGGAACCTAAGTGCCAATGTGATACTCTTAAGAGATAAGGCATTTAGGATGTGATTAATTCATACGAATTCAGTCCTCATGAATAGGATTAGCATTTTTACAAAAGAGTTAAACTACCTAGGCTATTTTCTTTTCTGTCTCCTTTGACTATGTGAGGACATGATATTCAAGGTGCCATCCTGAAGCATCCTGAGCTCTAAACAGACAGTGAACCAGAAAGCACTTTACCCTTGGGCTTCCCCACTTCTGGAACTCAGGGAAATGAAAGCTGCTGTTTATAAATCACCCAGTCTCCGATATTTTGTTGCAGAAACACAAATAGACAAAGACAAGAGCCAGATAGGAATGAAATAAAAGTTAACTCCATAGACAAACTTTGTACTCTGTTGCAGTTACTCACAAGGCTTTGCATTTGCATTTAAGCTACATTTAGAAGAACCATTTCCTTCACAAGCACTGAAATCCTCCCACTCTGAAATCCTTTGTACTTCACTCTGATTGGACTTCTCCATGAACAGATTCACAAACAAGCACATTTGTGCATAAATTTTTAGGGCCTTCTGTGGTATGACAATATGCTAAAATCTCTATGGTCAAGAGAAACTTTCTATTTAAAATAATCAAGCATCTCTTCTCAGGAGTTTGTTGACATTTGTCTTTAGCTGCCCAAAATTCATTCACACATCTTTGGTAATAACATCTTACATATTACTTGGGGAATTTTCTTTTATTATTCTAATGATAGAGGGATTATCACTCAGGGAAGCAGGTGCTCTTTGAAATAGGGGGGAATATTATCCAAGTCAGGAAATTAGAATATTCACTTGGATATTATTGGATGAGCTATGTATGATATGTTGGTAGAATATGATTGAGATGCTCTTTGCCATCATTTTCCTTTTATGGAGAAAATATATATGAGAGAGATGGATTCCTGATTAATTAATTCTGCTCCTTACTCTAGACCTTCTGAAAAAAATTATTTCTAATATTTAAGTAATATAAAGGCAGAATTTCTCTTCTGTACTCACACTAGTTTGGACTGGCTTTCTGCCACATGGAATAAAATGTGTCCTTACAAATGCAGCAGATAACAGAATTCAATGCAAAATATGAAATATTTAAGAGCAGATTTTGGAAAATGACTAAGATTTACTAGATTTACCAGGAAGAGAAGACCAAAAACCTTTTTTTAAACATTTATTTATTTTTTGACTCAACACGTTTTATTAGTATGTGTTTGCAGGACATAATGATTACATTCATCATGGGGAATTTATATCTATGTATTGATGTATCTATGTATCTGTGTTTCTGTATCTATACCTATATCTATATATTACATCTTAAATAGTTTTCATGCTCTTCCCCTCCTTTTCCCCCTTCCCTCCATTTCTTGGTCCCCTCTCTTTTTGCAAAAGTTCTATCTCCCTCTTTCTTATTATCTATCTTTTGTTTCACTCATTATTCACAAAGAGAAACCAGGATATTTAAGCTGTGGTTCTGATTTATTTCACTGAACATGGTCTTGAGTTAAGCAGATTATGCACTATTTGTGTTTCTAGTTCTTGTGCTCCTACTACT